CATCTTGAGAAACCTGTATGCAGGTCAGGAAGCAACAGTTAGAACTGAACATGGAACAACAGACTGGTTCCAAATAGGAAAAGGAGTAGTCAAGGCTGTATATTGTCACCCTGCTTATTTAACTTCTATGCAGAGTACATCATGAGAAACGCTGGGCTGGAAGAAGCACAAACTGGAATCAAGATTGCTGGGAGAAATATCAATAACCTCAGATAGGCAGATGACACCACCCTTATGGCAGAGAGTGAAGAGGAACTAAAAAGCCTCTTGATGAAAGTGAAAGAGGAGAGTGAAAAAGTTGGCTTAAAACTTAACATTCAGAAAACTAAGATCATGGCATCTGGTCCCATCACCTTGTGGGAAATAGATGGGGAAACAGTGGAAATAGTGTCAGACTTTATTTTTTGGGGCTCCAAAATCACTGCAGATGGTGATTGCAGCCATGAAATTAAAAGACGCTTACTCCTTGGAAGAAGAGTTATGACCAACCTAGACAGCATATTAAAAATCAGAGACATTCCTTTGCCAACAAAGGTCCGTCTAGTCAAAGCTATGATTTTTCCAATGGTCATGTATGGATGTGAGAGTTGGACTATGAAGAAAGCTGAGCGCCAAAGAATTGATGCTTTTGAACTGTGGTATTGGAGAAGACTCTTGAGAGTCCCTTGGACTGCAAGGAGATCCAACCAGTCCATCCTAAAGGAGATCAGTCCTGGGTGTTCATTGGAAGGACTGATGCTGAAGCTGAAACTCCAGTACTTTGGCCACCTCATGTGAAGAGTTGACTCATTGGAAAAGACCCTGATGCTGGGAGGGATTGGGGGCAGGAGGAGGAGGGGACAACAGAGGATGAGATGGCTGGATGGCATCACCGACTCGATGGGCATGAGTTTGAATCAACTCTGGGAGTTGGTGATGGACAGGGAGGCCTGGCGTGCTGCAACTCATGGGGTCGCAAAGAGTGGACATGACTGAGCGACTGAACTGAACTGACTGAACTGATAACCAATTGAAAAAGAAAAAAAAAGAAAAAGTATATAGCTCCCTTGTTAAGACTAGCAAGGGGGACTCTCTCCATTCCCCCTTCTGATGTCTATGTCAGAAGCTTTCGCTGTCTCTTTTTCACTTTAATGAAACTCTGCTACACGGAAGCTCTTAAGTGATCAATCCTGGTCCCTGGTCCCAAAGCTAAATCATGTTCGGATATCACGAATCCTACATTGTTCACCATAAGCTATCAATGTCAAGACAAAAAGAACCTCCCAGGAGAGTTCTTTCCTGCCAGAAGCTGCTTTCAACCCCAGTATGAGTCACTTGGCTTCCATTACCAACTCCACAAATAAGCCCCCAGGCCCCTTCTCCTCCATCCTCCAGGCCCCTATATCCAGCTACATGCTTGGACATCTCAACTGGGGCCCCTCACAGACAGCTCTAATGCAAGTGTCCAAAACTGACTCACAGTATTCCTCCCAGCTCCTCTCCCAGCATTCCCCTTCTCAGTGAGTAGCTCCATCATCCCATGAAATACTTGTGCCAGAATTCCAAGTCCTTCACAAAGTTTCCACCTCTAATCAATCAGCACACTCCTCAAGGTTCATCTCCCAATTACTTCATGCTGCGCTTCTCTTTATCTCTTCCCAACCTGGGCCAGTCATTACAGCTCATACCCTAGCTATAGGAATTGGGTCACAAAGGACTCAAGCTTGGCCAGCCAGTTCCTTCCTGGAATTTACTGACCTAGGATAAGGTTTCTGTCAGGTAGCAAACCTTGAGCACAAATGAAAATAGTTTCAGCTTTTCTATTTAAAGGAAAAAAGTCTTGGAGAACACTTGCTCAAGATTTGTGGGCCTTGCTCAACCTTTTGGCCTTCTGACATGAGTTGATGCTCAAACTATGTGCAATATATATAAGTAAGTGCTCAGTAAATGTTGGTTACTATTCTTATGATTAATTATGAAAAGTTTCAGTCTAGTACTTTTTCTTTGTTTCATTTGTTCTATTCCCATCTTAGGAATACCAGTTTTGTATATGTTGGGACTCATTTGACTATCCTCCACCTCCCTCATTTTTTGGTCCTTGTTTCTTTGCCATTTTTCATGTTTTTTGAATAGTTTTTTTGTGCATGCATGCATGATTGCTCAGTTGTGTCCAGCTCTTTGCAGTCATGTGGACTGTAGCCCACCAGGCTCCTCTGCCTAAGGAATTTTCCAGGCAAGAATACTAGAGTCGGTTACCATTTCTTCCTCTAGGGAATCTTCCTGACCCAGGGTTCGAACCAGCATCTTCTGCATTGGCAAGAGGATTCCTTACCACTGAGCTGCCTGGGAAGCCCCTAGTTTTTTAGTTATATTATTTTTGATGTTTCTAATGTTCCCAGGAAAATATCAGGTTAATACAGTTAAGTTCCTCCATGTTTTCCTTAAATTTAAAATAAAATTCTAACAATGCATACTTGGGTTTTTTTTCATCCTTCCAAAATGTATGATTTAGTGGTTTTCAGTATACTTGATACAGTTATACAACCATAAACACTTATCCAAAACACTTTGATCACCCTGGAAAGAAACCACATGTCCATTAGCAGTCACTCTCCTTTCCTGCCTCCCTCGCCCCTATGAACCATTGATTTACTGTACATCCCTATCAGCCTGTTCTGAACATTTCATATGAATAGCATCAGACATGTGTCTGCTTCTTAGCATAGTTTTTAAGATTTCATCCTTGTTATAGTATGTATTAGCATTTCATTCCTTTTTGTGGCTGAATAACTTTTCACTGTATATATGTTGTGTTTTCATTCATCAGTTGGTAGATATTAAGTTGTTTCCACTCTATAGTATCTGTTTTTGCCAGTGTAATATAAGGAATGAATATAAGGAGACTGGACTGCAGTGTCCACATAAAAGCATACAGAATCCTCAGATGAAGAAAGGTATTTGGGAGAAATTTGTATTTTCTGGAGAACAGTGGATGTGGGCCAGGGCCCCCCTAGATTTGGGGAAATCCCAATTTTAAATGATCTGTTAACCCTGTTCTTGGTATGCACATAATCATCACACCATGTATCTTCTGTGTCAGATGGAGACAGTCCTGACCATGGGCATGTTCTGACTTTCTCCTGTCTTCTCACTCACTCTGTCCTTGGCCTGGTTAGTATTCATTCCTGAAGTACCCTCCAACTATAAGTCTCTCTTCATGTTTGATTTCTTAATCATTATACCATTTTCTAAAATCTGCTCCCATTAGCACTTCCAGGAGGTGAGGGTGAACTTTTCCAGAGCACTGAAGACAGACAACCCCACTCCCTTTTTTATGTCCCTTGTGGCTAAAAATAAATAACTAAAAATTGGGTGTGGGGGCCTAGAGTTACACTGCAAATATGGGACTAAAGAGGATGTGACTAGCCCAGACATCTCCGTAGCTGAGGTGTAAAGCTGAAGACTGTGTAGTGTGCCATAGGGAATTCGAGTGAAACCCAGAATATTAAGCAGAGACTTAGGATGAAGGTGGGGTGATAGATAGAGGACACTTGGGAATTTCAGTTTAATCATGGGATGAAAGCTGTTTAAGTACACTTAAAGTCATAGCACTGCCTTGCTTTGTTTCACAATGAAGGATGCACTTACTGCCTTGTGTCTGGTCTTTCCTTATTTAATCCTAGTATTATTTTAATTATATTCATTTGGAGCATTTCTCCCCAACTAGATTATGAGCTTCTTACAAGAAGAGACCCTGTTTACCTCATAATACTCATCTATTTCTGAATTTGTTCAATGCAATGAACATTTACCTGCTAGCTCAGATTCTGGCTCCTCTGATTTCTGTGGACTTGGGAGATTTGGTTTCCTTTTCCAAGGCTCAGGTTGTGAAATGTGTCCTTCATTCTTGGCAAGGCATTCATGAGGATCAAATGAAACCAAGGCTGTGGGAACCCTTTTAGAACTGAAAAGAGCTATGTAAATATCTGTGGTATTTAGAAGTTTCCAGGTAGCAATCAGTATGCCAGGGTGCTAGTCGTTTTGAGCTTTCAGGGGAGGACCCCTCAATGCCGTTTCCATCTGAGAACAGAGAAAGCCCTGAGTATCCCCTCCCTTAGGAAGCTGCTCCCATTTTCCACCTGGCCTCTCTCTTTTTCAGGACTCTCAGAGTGTGATCATGTCATACAGAAATCCAGTCTGCTTTTAAACACCTGTTTTTAACCATATTAGAAGTTCTGATTGTTACTACATCGATTGGTTGGTTTTCAAATCTGTGAATTTGCATTTAAACCAGCAGCATTCTTAGGTCAGTATTCCTTTAGACCAGCTCCATCAGAAAGGGTTGTCCAGTTACCTAGTGAATATTTGAAACTTCAGACACTGATGCCAGGAAGCTGAGGTTTTCCTGTAGGGCCTCCACTAGTGGGGAGTGGTGCAGAGAGGGGAGGGGAGAGAGAAGGGCAGTCAAGGGGGAACAGTCTGAAATAGAAGTGTCTTTTGCCTTCAGGATATATCAGGTCACAGGAGAGAGGAGACTGGTTCTCAAGAAAGAGCAAAAAAATTTACGAGTAAAGCACTGAGGACAATGCAGAAGCACAAGAAGTATGTAAAATTAATATGGAGTATTTCCTGAAGGTAGGTTTTGAAGGGAACAAGGAGAAAGGAACCCCTGATTTAGGGGTCATATATCCTTCTCTACTTGAAGTAGAACCAAGCTCAAATAGGAATATTTCTAATCTTTATCATCTAAACTGGGCCTGGTGCCAGCAGTTTGGATGCTGATCCTGATTGCCGTTACCAGGTTTCACACACCCCAGTCAAACCCTTTAAAGCATCTCCTCTTCATGTAGGAGCAGTTAAGAAGTACTTTGGGGAAAACAATTGAAAACTAATACCTCCAAATCAAAACTATAACCTCATCATAATTCCTTTATCTCTTTTGAAATGGGTTTTAAACCAGAACAACTATTTCTAATTTTAGAAATATTTTAAATAATTGTCAGTAATAGTCTTTACTAATCATGAAAAGAGAAACACATACATTAGTCTGTTTGAAAGTATCATTTCTGATCTTTTGCTCAGTATGTGAGTTGCTGTTTTCCACCTTATTTTGTGACAAAGGTGTGGTACACATTTTCCCCACCCCCATGCCCCCCAAACCAATACTAGACTCCTCTAGAATAGTGGAAGAACAGAAGTTAAAGGCAACCCTACACTCTCAGCAAACACTCATCAGGTATCACCTGAAAACTGTTCAAGGCAAAAAACAAAATTTTTTAAGGGACCACGAGCTTCTTGGAGTTAATAATCCATTCTGCCTGCTGCCTCCCAGTTATTTCACTGCTGTATGACAATCACCTCTGCATTGTATCATGCACTGATTTCATTCTTGCTAACTGTTAAAGGACTGACCTTTTCAGATGATTGGTGCTTCTAAATAAATCAGATCCATTTGAGGTCATGTCTGGGGGAATATCAAGCTTGCATTCTCACATGCCGTCTTGAGTGGGTGAAAAACAATTGGAATTTCTGTACAGAGTTGAGTTGATGTATGAAATGGATCCTGTTACTCAGCTACAACCCAGAGTGAAGCCAATGTTTCAAGAAAAACATTTATTTTGCATTTTTCTGGGCTTTGTCAATACCTGGAAACCAGAGGCAGTTTGTTCCAAGGAAGAGATCACGGATGGTTAGTCTGAGGAACACAGAGACTCCAGATTCACTTCCCTGCCCTCAGCTTGGGGTGCCCCGTCTTCCTTATCAACCCACCAAAGTCTGCAGAAGTCTTTTGTTACCAGCTCAAATGCCTCTTCCTCCTTGAAACCTGAGTCATTGTCAGCACTGGTTCGTTCGTCTTTGCCTTGGAATTCATTGTGGTACAGCTGTCCCTAGTGTTACTCCTTTGCTCATCTCTCAGTTCCACCTCACCCCCAGCAGTATCCTGAGAGACCCCAATGGAGTATGAACAGCTGCTGGATGCAGTAGATGTGAGCGGCCACAGAGGAAATCGAAGTCTCAGTGAAATCCTATATGGAAACCAGGCAGGCTGTGGAATCGAAATTAAGAAAGGTAGAAAAAAATGTAAAATGTTGAAGATTTAACCTGATAAATTTTGAGCAAAAGAAGAAAGAAACATGATATATGGCTAATTCATTTCAATGTATGACAAAACCCACTGCAATGATGTAAAGTAATTAGCCTCCAACTAATAAAAATAAATGAAAAAAAAAAAAAAAGAAACATGATATAGTGGATAAGGCAGAACTTTGGGCTCAAGTCTGAGTGAAGTTTACAGAGTCCACTCAAACAGATCCCTAGAGAAGAGAGAGAGCCAAGAAAATGTTAGAAACTTGGTTGTAGATTTTACAAGATTGAACCAAGAGGGCCAAGTGTGGGGTAATGGAAAATAAAATAGGCACTCCAAGAATAATACATTGTTTTCCCATTTAAAAAGTAAGGAAGTACAATCTGAAAAGTATGGAAAAGTACAAGTTTAGGTCTGTTCAGAGACGCCATGGCATATCACTATGTGCACACTCAAGATCCTCATGCCTTGAGTTCAGCTGCCAGCTCTGCCACAAAGTTCTGAGGCAATAATTTAACCTCTCGACGCATAAGTTCCCCCACCTGACAAATGGGAAATGATTAATGGCCACCTCATGGTATTCTTGTAAAGACTGGAGGAGTTGCCAGCAATGGTGCCTGGTACATAGTGAGTACCATGTTATTTTATTACACGTAAAATTTGAAAGTTCTCCTTGGTGATTTATTTGGAATAAATAAACTTTAGGAATAACCTTATCAAATCTTTCACAAATGATGAAACACAATGTCATTATGTGACCTTTATAAGCCATTTGAATTGCATTTTATTATCTGCCAGTCTCTTTAGGTCATTTTTAAATGACTTCATGTATTTAAATCTTGTCTTCCAGTATGACTCTTGCATGCAGGAAGTTCTATCTTAACCTTATGCAATATTAACAGTGTGAGGCACATATATCAGCTTAATAATACCTGTTAGTTCCTTTAAAATGCAAAATTTAAGTGTATCCCAATGACAGTCATTTACACATTAGCAATGATAAGTTTCTTTCTTTCTTTCTTTTTCAGTTATTTATTTATTTGGCTGCACCAGGTGTTAGTTGTGGCACTTAGGGTCTTCAGTCTTCCTTGTGGCATGCGAACTCAGTTGTGGCATGTAGGATCTAGTTCCCAGACCAAGGCTCAAACCCAGGGCACCTGCACTGGGAGCATGGAGTCTTAGCCAAGCCACTGGACCACCAGGGAAGTCCCAGCTTCTTTCTTTCTTTCTTTTTTAATGCCATCTTGGGAGACCCAGATGGCCCTGGCAGAAAGGTCTGGATAAGTAAGTGTTAACAAAGGGAGAGAAAACCCCAGAAGGAAATGTGGCTGGGGCAGCAGATCTTGTTGGGTCTTTGTAGTCAGAGGAAACAAGATGTGTTTACTGAAAAGTTTTATGAAAGCAAACAGAAGGTATAACAAGGACCATGGCCCATACTTTTCAACTGCCCCTCTGTCCAGCTACGGCAGACTCCTCTTCATGTGTTTTTCCACAGATGTTGGGAAAACCTGTCCTCAGGCTGCTCACAGCCCATTGAAGAAACAGGTCAGCAGCCTCGCAACACAACCCAGGCCATGGAAGAAGGCCCTGCAGGGCCCCAGAGCTCAGAACTTGACCTGAAGCTTTGACCAGAAGGTGATATTTGTCCTTCCTATTAACTAAATGTAAGGGAACTGTTGAAACAGCAAGGACACAGGAAGGATCGAATCACTTCAGTAAACCATCCATTTGTGAGCCATTTCAAATTTATTGATTTCCTGCTGGGGCAGTGGGAGAGGGAAAATGAGAAGAAAAACCAAGTCCAGTGGTCTTAATTCTGAGGGGATGAACAGACTTGGCCTACATGGGTCAGAGAGTATGCTTTGATGGAAAGGCAAGCCTTTTCTCTGGGATATCTAGAATTGGAGGCAAGGGGATGCAAGAGGGAGGTTAGGGGTGTAGACTCTGGGGGAGGGAAGTAGGAAGTGAGTTCTGTCCCAGCGGGGCTCTCCCTCCCCGAGCAGATCACTAGCACAGACTGGAGTGACTATGGGAAGGAGAGACGGGGGTTCCGTTCAAAAGCTGGGTGGGCTGGTGACTGTCCCTTTGCCACAGAGCTAGAGTGGCAGTGCAGCGTGCATCCCGGAGGCCTGGCATGCCAAGGTCCGGGAGGACCCCAAGGTCAAAGGGACAGAGCAGGAACAGGGTTTGTGCCACCTTGCCAGTCTATTGCCCTGTCTGAGAGGGTGCTTTCCCGATGAGGCCCATCAAGGGCCTGTGGGCTGTGTGGCCAGCAACGAAAACTGAGGGGCGTGGAAGGAGGCTGAGCTAGATATTCCCCCTTCCTCCCAGCAACGATGCCCACATCCTGTCCAGTCTACATTCATCCATCAGATTTAGGACCTTCAAAGTAAAGAGACAGGGTGTACAGCCAGTTGAGTTGCCAGATAAAACACAGGACACCCAATTAAATTTGAACTTCAAACAAACAAGGAATAATTGTTATTGCATGAGACATACTTAACACTAAAAAAAGACTGTTCCTTGTTTATCTGGAATTCAAATTTTACTGGCTGTCCTGATTTTTTTTTAATTGTTTTGCTAAATCTGGTATTTCTAGTAACAGGACAACATGCTAAGTGAACCTCAGCATTTTTGAGGATGGTATTAAAGTAGTACGGTCTTGTCATGTCTGGGCAGTTGTGGGAACTTCCAGAAGTGGTGCTGAGTTCTCCAGGCTCTGGGATTTGGTTACTGACTCCCAGGTGACAGTTCCCTTTCCAAGCACTTGGCTCCGCTTCCCTCTGGGAGCTGTGAGAGACAAGAAAAAAGAAATATACTATACAGGCTGATTTGATGGGCCAGCCAAAGCAACCGACAGTAACTCAGGGGTTTCAAACTGTGGGTCACAACTCCTGCAGCTTGTGAACCTAGGTCATGCCAGCATTTTGAGTAGGGGATAGGGTGGATTAGGGAAGGGGATCAGAGTGTACTGCCTGTATTTTTTTTTTTCAACTGCTCTCCCTTTTTAATCAGTTTTACACAATGATATTGTACATGAGTAATCACATTAGGAAAAAGGATGGGTTTCCTGTACATATGCAAGATGGTACAAGCTCATTGACTGAGGCTTTTAGAAGGTTTTATCAGTACAAAACTTGTTAATACAGGTGAAGCCCAAGAATACAGTAGACATGACAGGACATCACCTCAGCAGAGGTGAATTCTTAAGGTGTGTGTCTCCTGCCCACACTGTCTGCCATGAACCAAGTGTAGAGAACTTTCTCTCTCAGGTATTTAACCTTTGATGAGCACAGGCCTGTGGGACACAGCTTCGCAGTGACCCCATGGCTCAACCACACCAACCTTGACATGAGCAAAGGATATCTTTCTCCAAGTATTCTCAAGAGTAATAAAGCTATTCGTGGTCACCCTACTCCTTTGGGTAACCTACATTCTAAAATATATGATTATTAATCTGGCAACATTCTCAAGCCTTTTTGGCAAGGTATCTTAAATATCTCATTACTGTTCATCTACTCACTAAAAATTCTTCGAGCTTCATAAAGATTGTTTCTGATTTTCCCCCCAAAGTATGACAATTACATACAGAATAAATGTGTTAGAGTTAAAAGAACTAAACAAACAAAAACAAAACAAAACAGAAGAGAGGGGAGACTTTTTCTTATAAAATAAAGCAGGGATGGAGACACAAGAGAAAGTCTAGGACACACATTAATGAAGGAAGCTGAGTCCACTAACGATTCTGTCACTTCTACACAATCCACTAACAGTTCTGAGCAAGTGTGTTCCTTCTTTCCTTTTTCACATTCAATCTCATCAGACACAGGAACTGTTGAACATTCACAATGTTGACCTTAACTTGGCCCATGGAATTCCCATGATAGGCAATGGGGAGACTATGCCCACAAGCCCACACAGTCAGCTATATCTTCCCATGGCCAGAGCTAGACCTTGTCACTGCCTGGGATGGGTTTTAGTTCTCTCACTTACGTACCTCAGGAACATAGAGGTTGAAAGACTACATTAAAGGCTTACAGGACACAATAGGGAAAGAAAAACTCATGCATCACATCCACATCTATTTTCCATCCTTCACAAAGCCTAACCCTCTTAGAACAATTTCATATTTATATGAAACAGGCTTTGTAAGCAGGTTTTTAAAAAGATAAAGCAGGAGAAATCAGTAACTGGCTGAGATTCGACCTGAAGTAGAGAAAGAAAACAAAATGTTTGCTAGATTTTAAAAATGATAATTTTACAAAGAAAAGACAATCTTCAATCTGTAATTCTATTACTTAACTGTTTCTAGAAGCAGAGTATTAATACAAAATATAAACTGATTTTTTTCATTAGACAGTTCCACAGAATTTCAATGAACATTTAACATTCATTATCTTTGTAAATTCTATGTAATAATCCATGACTAACGAAGGTTTCCTATGTGTGATTTTATACTTTTGCACAATCCTTTTTATAAACAACGTACTGGGAGGACGTGTGGTAAGAAACAGCCAAAGGACAACTATTCCTCTTTCCTGAAAGAGTAAAATCAGATTACTACCTACCTTACACCCACCACTGGCATGCACACAGTTGTTTGTTGTTTAGTTGCTGAGTTGTGTCTGACTCAGTGACCCAGTGGACTATAGCCTGCCATGCTCCTCTGTCCATGGGATTTCCCTGGCAAGAATATTGGAGTGGGTTGCCATTTGCTTCTCTACTGCCTGCATTTTATCTCAAAAAAATCCTGTGTCTCTGAGTCATTGTGTGTGCACATGGCTAACGATATTTCTTACTGTAGTCAGGGTCCAAAATGTTTGAAAGACACTAATGATGATGTTGAGGCTTGCAGGGCATTATTGTGAAAACTATTGGATCAACAGCCAGGATGAATTGGTTTCACCCATGGGTTAGGGTAAGCTTTGCCTTGTTCTGGAAAAATCACCCTCCAGAACCATCTTATCTTTTCATGGAATCTTCAGTCCCTGCATATAAATGGCCAATGCTTAATTTAAATCATTTAAAGTTCCCAGGTTTGTTCCTTTTGTTTACTGTACTGTAATAACTTATTAAAAGCATACACTGGAATTGAACATTGTTGCACCTGGTCTTAGGCATTAAATATAAGTTATAATGTGGGACTAAAGGCACTGTCCAAATGGCCATAGTGGGTTTTTTTTTAATTAATTTATTTTTTATTGAAGGATAATTGCTTTACAGAAAACCATAGTGGTTTTTAACATTTGTTTTATTTCCTCTAAAGGCAAGGTTTTTCACTGAAAAATCCATGGAGATTACTTGGGATAATTCCCCAAAGCTACCCTAAATGGTTTTGACAGAGTCATAATTTCTCTCATGCAAAGAATATATGATGCTTTTACTTAGAAAGAGAAAGAAGAAATGTTTGCAGTTGTATTTTGAATTTTAAAAAAATTCCTATAACAAATAGCTCTTGATTCAGAAATTATAAATGAAGCTATTTCATCATCCAGTGTTACTGAAACATTTTGTCCTGTGATGTTTTAGTTTTTATTGTTCTTAGAGACTTAATTTTTATCTTTCACTCTTTGTTGGAAATAGCTTATAAATATTAAGTCTAAATACTTATTGTCTTGTACCAATTGCTCCAACCTCTGTTTCTTCAAATTTTGCATTTATATGTGAAGTGGATTTGCCATGCTTTTTCACTGGGGAGATACTGTTTGGCCATGGAATGTACAGGCTTTGGAGGCAGATACACAAGGATATGAAACTAATTCTGACACACAGCACACTGTGACACACACCACACTATGAATTTGAAAGGCACATAATGCCTTAGAGCCTCAACATCCTTAAATGTAAGATGAGGGGGAAAGTACTTAACTGGAAGAGCTCCTGTGGAGTTTATATGAAAGAATAAAGACTGGGATGCTATATATTCACCGAAGTCCATTTCTGTTTCCTCTTTATGAACTTGACAGTACATTTTCAACCTCCCTTTAGTTAGTTTGGGGCTGTGTGACTGGGTTGTGGTGTGGGCTATCTCTAGGCCTGGCTACCTAACCTGGCTCCCATAGAGCACATATGTTTTAGGTCGTGTGGCTGAAAGACGAAGACTGCTCAATTCACCTAAGACTGTGTAAGCAAGAAATCAACCTTTGATTCTTTCTTCCCTTGTAGCTCAGCTGGAAAAGAATCTGCCTGCAGTGCAGAAGACCCTGGTTTGACTCCTGGGTTGGGAAGACCCCCTGGAGAAGGGGTAGGCTACCCATCCCAGTATTCTCGGGCTTCCCTGGTGGTCAGACAGTAAAGAGTCTGCCTGCAATGAGGGAGACCTAGATTCGATCCCTGGGTTGGGAAGATCCCCTGGAGAAGGGAACAGCTACCTACACCAGTATTCTAGCCTAGAGAATTCCAAATTCCATACACTGTACAGTTAATGGGGTCACAAAGAGTCGGATATGACTGAGTGATTCTTTTACTTTCACATTTTATTCTTTAAGGCCATTAAGATTTTGAAGTTTGTTACTACAGCATTGACTAGCCAACTCTGACCTGTGGGCTTCTCAAGTGGTACTAGTGGTAAAGAACCTGCATGTCAATGTAGAAGGACGTAAGAGACTCGGGTCTGATCCCTGGGTCGGGAAGATCTCCTAGAGGAGGACATGGCACCCATTCCAGTATTCTTACCTGGAGAATCCCATGGCTAGAGGAGCCTGGCAAACTACAATCCATAGGGTCACAAAGAGTCGGAAGTGACTCTTCCAACTGAAGTGACTGAAGTGACTTAGCATGCATGCAAACACTGTAACCAATGCATTTGAGATATTGAGTATATTTTTCTTAAATGTAGGTAGATATAGATACTTGGATATAGAAGTTTAGATACAGATAGAAAACAGTCAATTTTAGCATTTAAGGTATCTATGAACCTTAAAGTATAGAATGAGTCCTTTGATATATATTAAGAGTAAAAAAGAAGACAGAGTATATACCGTGTCACATTTTGTGTAGGAAAGAAGGGGAAATGAAGATGTACATATGTATTTGCTTATTTTTGCCCCCCACCCCAAAAGTATAGGAAAAGAGAAACCAGAAACGGATAAAGATGATTACCTATAAGGGGTGGATTGGAACAGAGTGGAGATAATGTTCATGGGAGTGAGACTTCTCTGACTAAATGTGTTTTTACAGTGTTGATTTTTGAACCATAAAGTTTATATATTCAGAAATAAGAGTAAATCATAAAAAGAAAATGCCCCAAAGTTGGAACTTAGAAGAAACACATGGTCCAACTCTATATAAAATTGGTCATTCAACCAACAATGAAAAAAGAAGCTTATTTGGGATAAACTAAACACTCTTATTCTGACTGCACATACATTTTATTGGGAACCAGGAATTTCCAGTATAATAGGGGAAAAATAAAGGAGAATTTAAGAAAAACACTGTTAAATATTAAATACCAATAGCAATATAAACTCATATAATTCATATTCTACCTCCTTGCTCTCCATACATATACATATGAAATAGCTGTGTTCCTGAAAGATCCTAAAAACTATATTCTAGTGGCAATGAGCCTAGCTAGTCCCCTTATTTTGCATTTCCTAATAAAATAACTGCCACAGCAAGGATAATCAAATGGTACTACAATCACTACAGGAAAGGTAGTTGGGCAATAGGTTATTCACACAGGGGTGGAGTACCACTCCACAGATCATTACTAATTTCAAAGGGAAAGTTGTTCCTTTGATACCCAATGTAGTGTATGCCCACCCCCACATATGCATTTGGCCTTGCCT